CAGGATACGGGAAAGCCCACGGAGAGCAGTCGCAAGCAAACTTTAGGACTAACATTGCACTATCAATACATGTCAGTGATTCAGTAGAAGTCTCACCTCTAACCCTATCACCGGACGAAAATCTTCGCGAGGAAGCTGAGCGAGCTGCGACAGTCTGCATCTCAAAATCTGCCATGGCAGTCGGCGACACCTCATAAAAACTGCAAGATGCGGAACGAAAAGGCTGCATAAAACAGTTTAACTTCAGCATTCAGAACAACAAATTCAACTGCCAGAGAACCCTAGGGCAGATGTCCGGGTGACCTCACTATGATACCCATACATACTTCATAAATAGAACTTTATATCTAAACATTATTTGGTGAAACAACTGCTTTCCTTACACACGAGACAGCACAACATTGAACAGATTCTGTCTCTGTGAAGAGAAGGCATAAACTCGAAAAGAACACTGGAAAAATAAAACCCAAACGAAACCGATAAAGATGTAACAAGCACTCGTCATAAACCTCGCAACAACTTATCAACTTTTCAAAAAAAAGAAGCTCAAGGCAAACAAAATCAACAATATTAATTAACAGACAAAATTGTATTGATGGGTTCAAGTGCCATATCGGCGTTCTTGACCACTCGACGTAGTGCTGGCTGCAGCTCATTCAGGACCATCTTTGCTGCTCCCTCAACCGATTGCAGGTACTTCTGGAATCACACCAGTCATAAGTAGCGCGATAACAATAAGGTAATTAGGAGATTTAAAGTTCGCAGCACTAATTTTGGCACTCTTGTCCATCCCTACCCTATTTTCTAGAGCAATTCTCTCGAATGTTTCGCACGAGAAAACAGCTTTATTCTCAAAACGTCAATGACTATACAAACTGGCTTCATCTCCGTGCAACTACTAACGGTTAGACCAAAGTCAGTTGTTAAGGACGCGGTTCGCGCTCACAGTATGGGCGGAGACACCAAACTGCCGTATCTTCTTCACTGATTGGCGTCTCTCGACAATGAGGGGAAGGGGCGAGTTAACTGTCCCTACCCATACGACCAGCATGAGCTGCGTTTTTACGTTCCCGTCTCTTTGAATTGGGACTCGCAAAAAATGAAACAAGACCAAGTTCTTTTGGGGCGCGCAACAATCGTCATCTCAAAGAAATGCAACAGCAATCCGGCATGCGACAACTCGAGCTTAAATAAGGCGCAAAAGAAATAATCTAAAAATAAGAACAAAACAAATATTCGATGAAACAATTCATGGAACATACGTTAATAGCATCTCCTGACTTTCAATGAAATGAAATGCGTACACCAATGCGAGCTCAGATGCCGAACCGAACAGCTGTGTTACTCTCCTTTGGCCCCGTTCGCCAAATGTGGAACAATCAACTGAAATTCAAGCGTGAAAACTCATTTCAGCATGGTACTATGATCCAGCTGCTCAGACGTAGGAAGTATTTACTTTGAGAAGTTCGCTGTCAAAGTTGCTCTGGAGAGGAATGGAGCACATGGCCAAGTACCACTGCAGACACCCGTCGTACTTCAACTGACTGATGGCTGAGCGATCGAGACCCACTAAGCGCCAGAAGATCGATCGCAATTGCTTGGCTTGACTAAAATCACACCAATCTAAACTAAACTACTACAACTAACACCCCACACACTAATTCTCCGATCGATGCTTGGGCTTTGACTAAAATCACTAATCTAACTAAACTACTACAACTACTAAAATCACTAATCACTAATCTCCAGTACAGATTTGAAGAGAAGGTTCTCTTTTTCCGAATGTGAATTTGGATTTTTCCGAATTCGAATTTAGAACTATCCTGGTAGCGGTTGGACTGTTTCGGTCGCGAGATCCACGCAGCGGCAACTTGCACAAAAGATAGCTAATATGTAACCTTACTGATGCGACTCAAAAGGCGTGGAACCGCTCCGTCCGTTATGAATCAGGTTCTGATGCAACATCCCACGGTGGCACGACTTCGCCTTTCCCGCTTCGCCGCATTGTGAATCTCCTAACCGACTCTCCAAATGGGTCAATTTCCATGGGAGTTGCGACACCTCTATACGGCGAGCGCGGCTTTATTTAAAAAAATGACTGCTAGTGGAATTACACCAAGGAGCTTGCTGGGAAACCAGATGCGACTACTCGACGTTAAACAACACGCTAGTGACGCAATCAAGACGTCACTGGCAATGATACAATAAGTTCCCTCGTTATTAACGTCTTAACCGCTGACTCCTGACAAGAAGGTGTCGGTTTGTGCACCCTGCCCATCCATGAGTCTAGTTGAGAGAAATATCTCGACTAATTTTCTGACATCAGTTTTAAAACCACAAAATGAATAACCACTGTAGGACCTGATCAGAATGTGCGCGGCCAGCGCGTAGAGCAGCGCATGCAACAGGAGTTTCGGCGGTGAATGCAGCTGTGAGGGCGGATCGGCATGCGCTCTCCGCCTCGGACCACACTGTGGATGCCATCGTCTGGGAATAGAGCCTTCAGCCTTTACGAATATTACAAAACTAAATATGGATCATTAGAATCCTAGCAATAAACATGTTAGACGCATACCTGACACATCTGCTGCAATGCTATAGCCATCGCATGACGTACCCGTGGCTTTGAGCAACTCTCTACATCTAAACAACGAATTGATTACTGTTCGACAGTTGAGCAAGACGTTGTTCGGCTTGGAAGGGACATTTCCGAATCTTGCTAAGTCTCTTTGCTAGTTCACGTTAAGTAACAGGTCTCATTTTAGTGAAACCTGTAAATATTTTTAACCAAGGGATGGTAAAAGTGAGCCAATTTGGTCACAAGAATTTACAGGCTCTCCACAAATGGCCCGTACAAGCTTTGCTGAGTAACAGTTAGTGCCCCCACCAAGCCGGTCTGCGCCTTTAAGCTAACTAATAAAGCTGGATTAACTCTATAACCTCGGAAGATATTCTTTGAGCAGAACTCTTTTGTCCTGATCGCTAGTTCTCCATACAATGCTCCAGCTGCATACAGTAACGCGACGTGTCAAGTTTCAGTGGGGAGTGTCCCCAAGTCGGCGATTTAAAAAACACAGTTTGAATTTCGGGGAAAGCTAGAGTTCTGACCAAAACTGAAAGGTGTCCACGACGTGTACTGGAGTTCGCATACTCGATACCCTTCTTGAATAGTTGCCTCTGACAGCGGATTGCTATTTTGCCAACCAACGCTCGGGCAGCCACAAACGTAGTTTCCCTAATATGGGAGCTCAGTTAGAAAGTTTTTCGTGAGATTTATGTTTTCGTTCCACAGAAAATGAGAGCTTCGTACGGGGGCAAAGGGTATACTGCATTAAGGGCATGGTCATGGGGGTCGATTGAATCGCTTCTCATCCTGATAGATGACATTTGTTGCGTACAAAAATATCTGACTCAAGCCCATAACGCGACGTTCAGATAGGGCGTGTCCACGGGCTCACTTATAGCTGCGGCACCTGCCTAGCTGTTGGGCTTGCCGCTTCAGTAATGAATAAAGATGGCTAAAGCAGAGTGGGTAAAATAGGCGGGCAGTGCCCCCAGCGACTCTGCCCCGTCCGCTCCGAAGCTGTAGAACTTCCTACAATTACCAACAAGGCAATCACCACGATGCTCTGACTCGAAATAGTGCCTGTGGATCCCTTCTCCCGGGTGCAGTGATACGGACACTATACATTTGCTGCTGCTTGCAAGTTAGCGCATGGGCCAGTTATGCCTAGGAATGTCGTTATGATCCTGTATGGAATTCGAATGGGTAACATCTCTCAAAGGGGACTGAATACCGTATGCTGTATCCATCAATACTCACGTCGCTACAACAGGTCAGAAAGGGGAAAACCATTGCTGAACTGGTTAAGACTAGGAACATTCCCAAATAAAGCGAATCATATCCAGCATTCGTTTCCCCACCACACCCCCATCCCCCTAATTCTGTTCCTCATCTTTCAGTACATTTCATACAAATGACTATTATCGCCCGGTAAAGGGTATGCTGTTCTCGTTTCTCATTTGAAAATCAATATGGAACAGCTTTCCTTACAAGAGTGCTTGGTCCTGAGAAATGAGCTAGCATTTTCAGGATTTCGGTGACAAGCGGTTCTGGCTTCAAATGAATGCGCAGAAGGCGTGCAAGAGCACCTGAAAATCAATCGTTAGGCCTATCTATAAAGTGAAAGTCAGAGTGACATTTGACAGTCCCCAAACCTCCAGCAACAAGTCGCACAGGACGAGATGATGGATCCTGTAACGCTTTAAGAAACGTCGATTGCAGCTGAGGCAGGAACGGCCGGAGCAATGTGTCAACCTTCAATGACCACTTTCATTAAGACTACCTTAACCCTCCTGGAATTTAGTGGGCTTTCTAATTACTGAACGGGCTTCCTGTTCAGTAATTAGAAAGCCCAGTAAAACATTGCGGAATGAAAGGACAACCAACCTTGTCAAGAAGTTTGCTTAGCGTTTCAAGAACCGCTAGCTTAACATTGGCTGGATAACGATCTCCAAGTACTCGAACTAGTGGACCGGTAATGTTGACTACGTGAGCTTTCAGAGCTGATACATCAGATACAGACACCATTTGACCAAGAGCTTCTCCAGCCAATGCCTTCAGTTCAACTCCTCCTACAAACAGCACAATCTTACAAAATAGCAGAAAAAGCAGGGTGAACGTCTAAGTTCAGGCTACACGCATATGCGCTACCATTGAGAGTGAACTTTGATGACAGAGTTCGCCGGGGACTTCACTTAGCTGCTTGGCTATACTGGTTGGCTGGTTTAAGCTCAGCGCTCAAACGACAATGCTGCAGTTTGAACGTAAAGCTTAAGCCCAGCCTTTGAGTTTCTCACTTGCATGTTGAACCGAAGTACCATATCTCGGAAAGAGAAGGCGTGGCTGTGTACTTCATTTGAGCACGGGGCGTAGGATGTGTTTTCCATGGGACTTTGTTCCAGGGACATCTCCATCTGGTCAACTGTCATCCTGTCTTGTGCCGGGAAAAGAAATGATGAGAACCGTCCCAAAACGACAATATCCCCTCAAAAAAGCACCCAGCGTTGCGTCAAACCATGTATTCAGCTAGCTCTCCCCATCATTGGGAGATAGAGTGTGCACAGCCTTGGAGGAGTATTCCACGCTATTCCGTTGGGATCCGGGCCAGCACTGTACCCCTATGGAGCCAGCACTGTGCCCCTGTGGACCGCCCTTGCCCACATAACCAATGTGGAATGTTGAACGCCTGACATTTACCACCAACCAACCTTGTAATATCGCTTCTCTCAGCATTGGTAGAAGTGGTTGTAGTGCCTTTGGATGGGCGAAACCAGGAATCGGTTTACCCTTGGACTGAGCGACGATAAAGTTCAAAGCCTTCTTCACAACAGGGATCGCTTCCTTGAAAAAAGGTATAGATTTTCTAGAAATGTTTTTTCACAACTGAAACACGAAATCCAATGAATTCTTAAAAGAAAACACGAAGAAAGTCAGGATTCTCCGAGATAAGCATAAACGTGCTGAGAGCATATAAATTCAGTGCTTACCTGCATTTCTTTCTGATCCAAAGCCTGAGCTACACCGATGGCCGCGTTAATAGCATGGTCAACAATTTGAGCGTTAGGAGACATATACAAGTGCAACAAACCAGGAAGCAAATCAGTCATGAGATAGTTAAGAGAAACCTGCCAACAATCGGTTATTTTTGAAGACCTCAAAGCCTACGATTGTAAAAGTGTAGAACAAAAATAACTTACTCCACTCTTAGCGACATAAGTATGAAGCAGTACAATGGCAGGGACATTTCCTTTAGTAGCTTGTTTGAGAAGATAGTCTATCAGAACAGGAACACCTTCCTCATCAGTCACTGCTACGACCACCTTCTCACAGCTGTCGATCATCTGAAACAGTACCTCATTCACATGTGTTACTTTATTGCCACCTCTAATTGTGATAGTTAGAACTGGCGACAGCAATCATTAATTAATTAATATAGATTACAAAGGGCTGCAGAGTTTACCTACCGGATCATATTGATCGTTCGTTTGACATGCCGAAAGCAGTGCATCCAAAACACGAGGAAGTTGTCGGGATAATGAACTTCCTTCAAAAAGAATCATCACATTTGAGCAACTAATCACAATAAAGACTCAAGGGAGACAGACAAGACAATCGCAGTTGTCGCGCCGCCGCGTCATATCGTGCGGCGGTGCCCGGCAAATCCTCGATGTGCACCATTGGTCAATTAACGCAGCGAAATTCGAATGAATTC